AAAATGCATGAAAGATCCATATTGGAGAAAAGAAAAAGCAATACCTACTAGTCATTTCTTCATAATATTACTCTATAAATGAATGCAGAACCTGTCAGCAGTTAATATTGCCCTGAAGCACTGTGAATAAACATTTGTCTGGTATTAGATACACACACACCTCCACATATAAATCAAGGTGCAATGTGCCATACAGATGAACAAGAGAAGAAAAAAAAAAATCCCTACCTTGTCCTATATTAGACATTAAGTGCTTCTTTTGATCACAAAATAACTCATAAAGCCTATCAAAAAAGCTAGCACTTCTCTCTCTGTCACATAAAAGACATTTCACTGTAATTAAACTTCTGTCCAACTTTCCAGAAGATTAGGGGAAGAAGTCTGACAGGCTCTATTTATATTTGTAACTGACACTCCTTGGGACATCCAAGGAAAAGAGAAGATGGGCAATAGATTTACAACACTTCTGAGCTAACAGCACTTATGGAGATGGACGGTTCTGAGCTTACCATCACTCATTCATTGGGTTTTTTTTTTTTATTAAAAGAAAATCCCTGCTGCCCAACTGAAGAGCATTTTCTGTTCAGTTTGCAATCTACATTCCCCAGCCTTCAATGGTTTAGTTTTTTATTTCATTTTTAAGCAACAACACACACAGCAGGTTGTTTGGGTAAATCAGCTTTACATGATTTATATGAATAAAGGTGGTTAACAACCATGTCTCTTAATGGAACTCTGTGAACACTTGGAGAAGGAAGATATTTTTTCAAACATATTCTGCGTATCCCTTTTCACATATGAAACTATATGTCAAAACACATGGCTGGGTTTCTGACACTAGATGATGGGAATAAGCCATCAGCTCCGGGATCCCAACACCAGAACCAAAGATTTACTGCTCTTCCATTTTTCTTTGTGTCATTCATCCTGCTCAGTACTAACTTCACCTATGTGTTTCCTTGTATTTGACTTTCTACAAGATACCTCAATGGTCCAAAGTCAATATTATACTTAGACAACAAGAGCAAAAGCAGAAAAGAAATGATCACTTTGGAAGGGACCACAAGTAACCAAAAAAGTACATTTTCATAGTCTGTCTTTCAGAATTGAAGCAAATATCAAACTGCAGACAGCACCATTCCTTCATGCTTAGCCATCTCAGAGGACAATACTGATGAGAAGGGAAGTTTTCCCCTACATTTCAAATTCAAGAATGCTTTGCCAGGATTGTTTTAGGAAATCTCTCCAGAGATGCCAAATATGCAGCTAGGATGATGGAAAAATAAATATGCAGCTTTTTTCACTTAAAAAAATAGCATAACTACTACATCATTTTTCCATAAGACAAAAGGTTATAAACAGCTCAGCTGACTTTCCATATTACAAGCTACAACTATCAACTCTTCCTGAAAAAGTACATTTCAACATATCACACCTATAGCATTCACACTCAAGGCATAAATGTACTTAAATGAATGATGGCTGCAGGGTTAAACTGACCCACTAATTAAACACCTTTCTTTCATTATCTTTTCCTAAACAGCAGAGCAGGTATTCTTCATGCTATCAAAGTGGCCCTAAGCAACCTACTTTTGAGCTTTTAAGCCTTTGGATTGTTGTCTTCATTCTGCAGTTACAGAGCTCCACGATACTTCCCGCTGTTACTGCTGAAAGTATAATTTACTCTATTTACACAACTTACAGCAACACACTCCAAAACAGCAGTGAGATTCCATCACGTGCTATTAATGGCACTTTCAGCTATATTACTCAGCGATCTTGAAGTCACAAAAAAGAGAACTGAGTTGCTGCTTATGTGTTCAGTGCAAGAGTGACCCTCTTTCCTCATGCTAGCGCCACAGGGAGGTTTTCCTCCCTAGCAAAAATAGCAAGCTCCAAGGGAGTCTACACAACTCAAACATGTAAACAATCACTGTTAAAAGAAATTGATTTAAACCCACTGTTCAGGAAATTCAGTCCTGTGGTTCTGGGTCTAAAAGCATCCAATCTGAGTGATACAGTAAATATGATATGCATCATCATTTGATCTCTGGGAGGCCTTGAGACACTGGCAATTGCACAGGTTACAGAAAACACAGATTGCATTTCAGATCCCCAAGCCAGAAGCAGGGGGAGTATCAGTGCAAAGGCTGATTTGTAACGATGTAGCCTTTTTGTGTGTGATGACCCCTACTGCCTTTTTAATAACAGAAACACTGGCTCTAAAAAAATATACAGTAATAAATGGAAAGCAGTTCAAGAATGGACGAATGAGACAAAATAAATTTAGTCTGTTTAGTGAACCCATATGCCATTTGGAAAACATTGTTACCAGTATGTTTGTATAGCATAACCCTCCATCAACTAAGGGACACTGAGAAGCAGTTGAGCTAGATCTGTCTCCAGTTTTACAGAAACGGATAGGACCTTACATAGCAAATTGTTCCCTTGTGATACCTTTTCCATGCCTGGTTTCTTTTCTGAAGCCAAGTCCTGCTCATATTCCACTACATTAGCAATTAACTCCTGCTTCGCTACCAAGCGTCTCCTCTTATCAAAAAGAAACTGGGGACTATTTGTCAGGTCGAGACAAACAGTAGCTGGCAAGTGTCTATCAGAGTCACTAGACAATGTGGGAAAGGTACCATCACTTGGAAGACTGCAGTGTGAAGACTGAGAGAAAGAATAATCAGATTGCAAAAAACCCCTCCAGGCACTCTTCTGCCCGTGTTTAAAAGCTCAGTGACAACCAAACATACATTCACTATACAAAGACTCAGTATCAGCCATTTAGGGAAAAGGGTCATATCACCATCTTCAACACCACACTCAAACCTCTTCTAAACTGAATTTTGCACTGTAGCAACAGGTAAGCCAGGACTACCTGTGATTCTCCATTGCCACAAAATTAAATCCAGATGCCAAGTCCTGATGTTGTTTTCTTAAGCATCTACCAAATCATTAATTTTAATGGAGAAAATTAATCAAAGCTTCTTAGGGTAGGCAAAAATTCTTTTGTCTTTGTACTGCATATTGCTCTATACACACATAACCACCGACTTTGTAAATTGAACAGCACTATTGGTACTGAAGACTTAATACATTTCAACTAAGGGCAAAAGAACTTGTAGCTGGAAAAACAATAGAAAGCTGAATAAGTGCTGGGCTCAATCACTAGAGGGAGTCATGATCACATATTAAGTTACTGTAATACACAGACCATTCTGAACACAATTATGAAACAAATAAAAGAGAAGACCATCAGCTAAATCTGGATGTCATTCAGGGAAAAGAGAAAATTAGATTTGCTTCCTTAACAAGGTTTTATTTCCAAAGACTCAAGACCTTCTCCTGGGAACTTTCAAATCATCTGTAATGAAAGGTTTTTAAAAATGTATCTTATTGCCTACATTTTAAGACAGAATAAGGTATGTGACAGAAGAAAGCCAAAATTATCAGTTTTGGAAATGACACATAGCATTGCATCAAGAAAATGTTAGAATTTTAATTTAAGCAGCTTTACAGCTCATTTCACTTGAAATCAAGAAGTAATCTTAATCATGTTTTTATTTTTAAACTAAATAGGCACAATTACATCCAGCATGAACAGGCACTACCAAAAGGCTGCTTTTTCAACAGATGATTCCCCTTGGCCCTTAATAAATTTAGAAAAAGCATTTCTCTGACAGGCTGTGAGAAACAGCCTGGGAAAAAAAAAAATCCATAACTCAAACATTACCATCATTCTTTTATTTGATCATTTGATCAGTTGTGGGTTTGAGGGTTTACTTGGTTTATTTTTAATATATGAAATGTCTTTTTTATACTGGTGAGATTCCCCCCCCCCCTTTAAACTTCTCAGCAAAAAACACAAAACAATTTGGCCAGCTGCACTCACGGGAATTTATACTTGGCTAACAATTTTACAACTGACTAAACAGTTTCATTAACAGTAGCAGCACACACAAAGCTTTTAACACCCAGCTTGAATCCTGCCCATCATTAGTACAGCAGAGCCCAGAACACCATCATCTCTTCAACGAAAATCTACCACATACCTCAGGAGACACATTAGTAAATGCAGCCCAAGACAAACTAAGAGTGCTTTTCCAGTGCTCAATTACACAGTGTTGGACTGCTTTACATTCAACATGTTCACATCAAAGGCTGAAGTTCTCCACACTTCTGTTGCTTAGACAAGTCAGCTGACACCTTGGCAATGCAAACAGTTCAAGAGCCTTTTTGAAAGATAGAGGTATTGCTTTTAACAAGAACAGACAACGGGTTCCTAATGTGAGGAAATAAAACAGTGTGGGAACCCAAGAATATGTACACCAAGGATGAGAAGCACTTTCTGGCACACTATAGAACCATGTTAAGAAAGGCTATATGTAACCGATGCAATCTGGAAAGTTAAGCTCTGGCGGACAAATTCATTTCCCCTATTAGACATTCACTCCCACACCACTGCAAAGGCTTAAACACCCTCTAGTTTCAAATACATATCTCGCTCTATAAACAAACTGCTCCTCCCAAGGTCTAGCAGTACTTTGCCATGAAAACTACAAACATACTTTTCCACCACCAGCTATACAAACTGGTCCTTTCAGTAGTCAAATCACAGTCCTCAGTGCTCTTACTCCCTTTCCCACACCCAGATGACCACTTTGCACATTTTGCTGTGACATTCCCTTTCCTGATGAAACTGCCTGGGAAAGCAGCTCATTTCCCCTTGCAAACACTTTAGCTCATAAAATAAAGCTGGACTGACTGACTCTTCACCGTATCCACCCACAGTTCTTCATCTATTTCTTCCTGCAAGGATTTAAGTAAGCAAAAAAACTCTTCATCAACATGGAAAAGAAGACAGCATAGAAGGCTCTATGGAACAGTAAGGAAATCTAAAGAGCCATTCTCTCAGTTTGCAGTCCTTGTTTTCTTTGTACACACTTTAATATAGCAGTGTCTTGCTGCCAGCATCCACTATTGGTATCACTCACCTGTTCGTGATGGTAGAGTTCTGCTCTTTCAGTGCAAGCTCCCTTTGCTGCAGGGCCACAATTTGCCTTGAGAGATCATCAGGTGTCCTACACAATTAAAACAAAATAGAAACTTTTAACAAATCATTGGTTGAAAAACTATGTTCCATACATAACCATAAAAAGGGTGTCACCCAAAGCAGACAAGGCAACCTCACCAAGCCAAAATTGCTGCAGTTGCTTCAAACACAGGGTTGCATCTTGTCCAGCTTACATAAAAGCCTGTTTTATTAAAGCCATTGCTGTAAGCTGTAATCACCATACAACTTGCAGCATCTCACCTGCTGTTCACTTCAACCCATAAACAAACTTTAAAGCCATAGAGTCAGCACGACCAAATTCTTCAAAGCAAGCAGCCTGCATAAACATTCATACCAGATGAACAGACAGCTTATCACCTGAACACGTTTTTGGGTTTGGTTTTTTTTAACATACATAAGAATACGTGTTCACAACCTCCTCCCCATCCTAGTGCTCAGCACACACACAGGGGTGAGCACACCCAGCATTACTCTAATTGCTACTCAGCTACAGAGCCTCAGTGGAGCATGATCACAGGATTATTACCAATAGGGTAAGAAAAGGAAGAAGTAAATGTACATATAGACTGTACAATTCAACAACTCTGGCTACTGCTGAATACCCTCTGATAGTGTAGGGGTTCAGCTATGTCATAGGTGATCTCAAAGCAGTGTTCCCACACAATTACCAGTGTGCTGACTTCAAAATCCTTCATACAGGCAGTGACTCAAGAGCCATCGGGGGAAAAAAAAAGCAATAATAATCCATAAGCTCTAGATAACACTTCAGATAGGACTCTGATAATCTTTTTTGTCAAAGAGATCAAAGATTTCTACAGATCTGGTAGCAACAGCTCTGCAGATGTCACAAATAGGTTTAATTTTCCATCAAATCCAATAATGAATTCTTAAAGCTAGTGGAACGGGATCAAGATAACTCTAGTCTGACAGTCCCAGAAACCACTATCCCACATCGATAGTCTCTGCAGGAGACAAATGTTCCTTTTGGAGACCTATCTTTAAATCACGAGTGCAAGATATTCAACTCTAAATGAAGGCAGCTTATGGAAAAATAGAAAAACATTTTTCTTTTGAGTCACCAGAAATGGTTTCCCATCCCAAAAGAGAAGCATCTGTACCACACTTCTCAAAAGAAAGGAAGCTGGAAAGGGCATCACAGTACGTACTGGGTACATCCTTTTGCTACAGCAAGATGCATCACACCCAAAGGGGAAGAGTGACCCAAACCTTGAAACGGTTTTTTTCATAGTGAATGAGTGGGAAGCTAGTTTTGCAGAAGTGAAATCTGTAGAAACACATTCTGTCATGTCCCCCAAGATGCAAGTCAAGGCTTCACTGTTTCTGGCAGATGAAATTAAGCCTGGCCAGACTTTACATTATCCAAATACAGACCTGGAATGAGGGCCCTGCCGCTCCAAAAACTGGATAGGTAGGAGATGTGCCTCTAGTTTGACCACTGGGATTCTGACTGAATCTAGGACTAAAGAAGCACTTTCTCTGATGATACCACTTTTCAGCCAACTATTTACATACAGAAAAGACATCACTTTTTCTCTTTAATCATCTGTCACTTCCAGCCAAGTGAAAATCAGTTAAACACTGAGCTGATGCAGACAGGATTCAATTCTGGCAATCCCAGTTCAAAGGTTCCTCCTTTTTGCTTCCAGAGTTGCACACTTGGAGCCTTCCTCAGCAGAAAATTTTGAAACCTCTAAGACCACTTGCGTTACACGCAAATCTTAACAGTCAATATATAATAAAACAGATAGAGGTGGTCTCTCCTCAGACAATGGAGACACATATTGCGGCAGTCAAATAAATCAGAACAGGATGAAACACCATCCTTCAAAGACATCACACTCAACGGTCAAGGAAACTATGAGAAGAAACCAAGACACCAACCTGGAGATGGCTTGACTAAAACATCTAAAATTCAAATTCTGGTAGCAGAGACAAGTCAATTTTAAACCAACATGCACCTGGGTTTTCAAATGTGTTGCAGCACCAGATAACACACTTCAAACTCCTGTAGCTGAGCCTGAAGGGTTTCTTAATTTAAGCAGTTCCCCATCTCTTTACTGAAGGCTACTTAATGGCTGGGCATCAGAGCAAACACTGGAGAACTGATTCAACCCAGTCTGATGCAAGCCACATCTCCACATAACCCAAGAGCAACAGAAAAATAACACTGGTTTCTTGGAATCTCACCTCTGAAGAACTCAAATCTAACACTGCTCTAACTTTGTTTTCCAAGCTGGAGGACTCAGGTTCTTTCTGTTGGTATATAAATGGTGAACTAAATGATAACATATGCCACAAAGTGGAAGACGGTTTTGCATACTCCACACGGTCTACAGGAGGAAAAAAATACAGCAAAAAAACTACAAGAGAAGTCTATAAAGCTACAATCTGATTTCAACATGGCTTCATTAGCTTCTATCTGCAGGAAGCAGACCTCTGACTCAGATTTTTTTTGTTGTTTTTTTGTTTTGTTTTGTTTTTTTTTACCATGAATTAAGGAAGTAGATGTTCTCTTTCCACAGTAGTTTCTGACTAGAAAAATCCAGAGATAAGGTAAAGATAAAGGCAACTTTGTATTAGTGCTGATGAGAAGAAAAAAAAAAAAATTACGAATCATGTTTCCCTTTCCACTTCACCATCCTTCACCTACTAGAGTCACCAGAAGCTAAAAACCAGAAAACACCAGACAGAAATGGACTGGTTATGCTTAGTCTGCTTGGCAAAAAGAAGCTGTGAGCAGACACACCAATTTCAACATGGACAATCTTTGTAAAATTTAATGCCAAGTCAACAAGGCTCTGAAAAATGCAGTTCTAAGCCTCTCATAATTCACCCAAATACAGCAGATTTATCACAAGGATAGTTAGTATCAGGCATCTCTCTGGCTGCTTTGAGTGCCAGCCTCCACCAGTGTTTGGTCCCTGCATCAATGAAGTAATTGCACAGATTTCTTTAAATGGGCAAAAAAGTGTATTTGCCTTGATTTTTTTCCTCATTTTCTCAGAAATTCATACCATAATGCATTAGGGCTGAGATAGAGAACTGAAATTAATCCAATAGTAAAATGAGATGGAATTATAAAAGCCACAGATTTCTAGTAATGATAGCTACTGACAAATTTCCAATAAAAAACAATCATCCTCATCTGTTCAGCAATTCAAATCAACAATCAGCTTCCAATCTCAGTTTCAGCAACTGGCAGCTTTAGGGTTATACTTAGTTCTGGAGGATGTTTTACTGGCATTAGTTACTTTTTTTTTTTTTCCCCCAAAGTGGAGTGCCATAGATATATAACAGAAAATAATGGGTATTAACCCTCCCTAAAGAAGACTTCACTTTCTGTAAAACTAAATCATGTCAGATGATAAGAGACAAAGACACCCCTTGCACACACTCTGCTGTCAAATACCTTTATTGAGAGGTTTCAAAGCCTGTTTCTGAGGTCTACATCCTATCCTGATAATACACAATTTGGCAAAAGCCAAATTTAAACACTTCCAAGTAGAGGAATGACGCTGCATGCACAATGAAATTAAATCAGATGAGCGTTCAGTTTGAAGAGAATTGGTCAATTCCAAAGCACTGCACATACCAACCAGTCCTCATCACTGTAAACAGGCCCCTCGTTTCACAAGTTTCTGAAAACAATGCTGCATAAAGAGATAAATTTGTCAGCATCCCAACACACACGTAACATGTTCTGGCCTTGCGAGCCTTTGTCTGATGGGCTAGCTGTATATAACTTCTGCTAAGCTCCTTCCATTCCCTATGGAACAGATGATATCAAACCAGCATTAAAAAGCCAAGAAGTCTGCTTTAAGAGAATCTGTATGACAATACAGCTTACCAACACTACTTGAATCACCACAGCTACTTCGAGGAAGTTTGAAACTCTATCCTAACAAACATACCCAGAACTCCCTTTCTGAAAAGCTGCTGCTTTGTGTGCTGTCACTATGTTTGCCCTGCAATCCTGCAGACATCTTCCTTCCCCATGTAACAATGGAGCCCATGGAACCACATAGAAAAAACACATGTAGTTTGCATCAGCCGTGCAAAATCCTGTAAATGAAACACATACACTTAACGGTATGATTCAAGAGTAGCATGTGATTAAAACTGAACCATATGCTATGTAATTATAAAGATAACATGAAGAACAAATGACAAAGTGGCTTCTAAAATGCGGATGCAGATTAAATCACTGACTTCAGTTCCTTTCTCCTGGGTAAGGCACAAGGAGCCAAAAGCTAGAACGTTCTTCCTCTGCCCCACCATCCCATCCTGAGACTGCATTTCTTTCTGCAATAACATTTAAGCAAAAATCAAGAAACCAAACAAACAGGAGAATTTAAGCCTAATTTGGAAACAAGATTTTTTTGCCGTAAATGAGCATATTAGTCCAGTATAGTTTAGCAGCATAGTAAGGCACGAGAGGGACAAATTGCTGTTAACCAAAGCTCTCTGACTTCCTTTGAAGTGCAGATAATTTGAAAAGGAGCAATTTAAGAATGATAAAAACCTAAAACTGTTCAAATGAAGTGAAAAATTAACTTAATGGGATGCCCATCCACATCACTCAATGACTTTTAAGTGCTCACTGGCACACTTTTTTAATTTTTAACAAGGAAAATGTCTTATGCATTTTTTTATGCTTTTTTTTTTTAATGCACACAACCAACATTTCATAGGCATTTGCTAGAAAGCTCTGTTGAACTGTCCTAGTTAAGGATCTGCTACCATTTCAGTAAAAACTATGACAGTTAGACACTGAGAATTAGCTGTTGAAGTAACATTAAATCAAGACTCAATAAGCAGATGAAGATGTTAAAGTAAAAATTGGAATATTTTTTAATTTATAATTTATTAGAACGTCGACTTCTTATTGCTTCTATAAAACGTTTCAAAATTCACAGCAAAGGAAGAGGTTTGATTGTAGCTAGATGTCTGACATTAAATTTTAACTATGGAAGTGCAAGACAAAAG